CACATGTTTACGATGACGAAATAAAAAAGTGTGTGGAAGTCAGCAACTTACTTGACACCCCAAAGCTAGATTTTCGCGAAGTGCAACACAATTGAGCGATCTAAAAACTACAAAACAGGAAAATGAAAATGGAAGAATGCTAGCTAGCGATTAAAATAATTCATTTTTTATTGAAGGTAAGTTTAGCTAGGGCCTAGAGAATCTACTACTTAGATTGCGATAGAACACGCTGCTGCACTGTCGTTGGTTCGTACTGGTCGGCTAGGTTAGGTAGTGGAAACTCGCACCTTCTCTACAGTAGTTTACAATTTTTTTTGAACGAATACCACTTGGTACTAGAGGTTCATAAAATACAGTACAGTAGATGTTTTATTAAACAACCCTTCCCACCGGTGACGTCGACGGCCTGAAACTGGCTGGCTGTTTATCTGGCTCTAACTTGGCATCGAACGCAATTAGGGGATTATCGTATCATGTTTCAAGACGGGTATATCTAGATAAAGTTCGACGTGAACCAGGCTTTTGTGTTTTTGCCCATCTTCCCCTTTCAACCTCAAGGTCAAGAACACCTAATCTCAATTTTGTCATAATTGTTTCATTTTTAAATTCTCAATATAAAGATGGAAACTTTCTAAATAAATGTCACTTTTAAATACACAATAATATTTAAGTCTTGAAAATGACTCCTCCGCCCGCCCCTAACTCACTGGAAAATATAGGGGCGAAAAAACAAAAAAACTTACAAAAAAGTTTTTTTTTAGCTTTTTTCTTTACAAATTAAAAAAAATGTGAGTGAATTTATCTTTATTTTTTGCCAGATGCCCTACGAATTAGTCTAAAGTTGTTGTCTGATGTAAGATATTGCCATTCAAAGCCTCTTTGGGTTCTTATTCCATCTGTAGAGTATTTAAAAAAAAATAAATTAAAAAAAAAATTTTTTTCTACCCACCCCTATTTATAATTTTAAAAAAAAAGGGCAAACAAACAATTAATTTTTTTGGCCTTATTTAATTATTACTTAGGTATACTACCAACAATTACATAAAAAAGCAGACATTAGGACCCTGTATTACAGTATTAGACATTTGAAAACAAACCAGTTGAAAACAAACAAGGAAGTAGAACAAAAGATTAGAATATTGCCTTATACCAGGTGTCATATTAGAGTTGTTTACCAACTAACCATGTGAACAAATATGCAAATGAAGTTTGCTATTCATTAAGCCAGTTGAAGTGTTGAAGTTAAACTGGAAGTCTAGTCAAAGGATGTTATTTCAGTGGCTAGACAGTTCAACTTTAATTAAAACTCAAATATCAACTGATTTAACTTCATAAAAATCAAGGAGGCATTAAATCTGTAGTAAGTGAGTCATATTTATAAAGCTTGGAAAAGTTAGAAATTGTAATTATTTTTGCCTTGTATTATATCTTAATAACAGAAGTTTTTGTAGTGTTATAATACCAATTAGCATAGCAACATCTTAGAGTATATATGTTCTATGGTAAACAAATATTTACATTTTGTGTGTCTATAATTCCACCTTAATTTGAAAATGTCATATTAACATAAATATGAAAAAACTATATAGGCAACTACTTTTCTAAGGCTTGTTACTTTTAAATTGTTCATTTCATGGAAATGCGAGCTGGCGTCATCCTAATGTTAAACTTGGTCTCATGATTGTATTAATGGACTATGGCATGTCGGATAACTATTTACTTGTTTCTTTCATGCTAAAATCATTGAAGTGCTGGGATACTGTTACCAAATCCTTGTTTTACAGTATTATTAGTGCAGATTCTAGTGCAGTTATATTGAGTATTTCTACATAAAATCCATTATGATCTTAAAGTGATATACAAGGATGATGTTATTTGTGTTTATCAATGAATGTAAGCCCATCTATATATGGTGGTAGGCATGGTCTAAAGTTTAATTGAAAACCTTTTTACATGAAATTCACACCATTCTTATTCTGCTCTTTGTGTTTACATTTACTATAATAGAGTACAGTACTTTGGCAGTAAGAGTGTTAAAATAAAAGTACAGAAGGTGCTCTTGTACCTATGACGCCATGTAGTGTTGTACTAGGGTTGTTTTCAATGATTCACTCGGACAGATACTAATGATCGAGGGCTGGCGTTGCATAGAACAAGTGCACAGCAAGGAGCCTGCACGAATGTTTATTGTTTGAAGTGAAAAATAATTGTGAAAAATAAATTAGATTGAATAAAATCTATCTTTGAGTTTAAATAAAAAGCTGTTGGAAAGGCAGTAATAAGTTACATTTTCCTACTGTCAAAGGTGTTGATTTCTTCTACTTTTACCATATTATGTTGTGATATTTTTTTTCAATTCATTGTCTTTCAGATCCTCATATCAAAGTTAGTGGAAAACCAGAAGACGTAGCAGTTGCCAAAGATAGAATCATGTCGATACTAGATACCAAGGTAACCATGCAATTACAAATGTTTATTTATAGGGTAATCAGATGCAGTGATCAATAATTATAGTCTGACCACTGAGTGTGGTATGCATTTAGAGATATACACACTTTATTGACTGACATCTACCATTTACGTTGGTAGAACTTAAGTTAAACCCAGGCTACAGAGGAAAAACAATTTTTGATATGTTGTACAACAGATTTTTCTAAGATACAGAAAGCATATTTGACAAAAAATTTGGGAACGGTTAATGAGATACAAATTATTGTATATTTAAAAAAGGGGTTGTTAAAAGGAGTGTAACCACCGTTATCCACTTTCTGCCACCCCCCACCCCCCTTTCCCAGTTATTGAATATTTAAAAATCCGTATTCCATTAACCGTTCCCAAGTTTTTTGTCATGTGCTTTTTGAGTCTTAAAATGAGTTCTACAAGATTTCAAAAGCTTTTTCTTCTGGAGCCTGGCTTTAGTGAGTGCTGTGTTGTTTAAAATGTTGTTATAAAATATTAATTTTTTAGGGTTTTTACTAGTCCACACTATTAAATTTCAAGTGTTCTTTGAAAAAACAACCGTAGTACATGCTCATAATTATATAGTCATGATATGCCTATATGGTCATTATGGGATGGCATCATGACTAGATTTAGGCATGGCACTATCATGTTTACGATAGTTTGGGCACGGCATAGGCTAGTGTACTGTATCAAGTATCTGGTTATTTTTTGCTGGAAAATCTGTGAGTTTGTAGGCATTGCGTGAGTTACATTCATGCCAGTCATGTCTGGTGTTAGTAATGTGTCTAAGATGTTTGGATGTTTAGTGCATTACAAAAATTGTAAACAGTGATACCCTATGACATCTCCAGATGGTATGCAGGACATGTCATATTCATATAGTCCACAAATCAAACACATTTCACTTTATTTATTCCAACCAAAAGGGAAAAATACAAGATAAATAATTGTATATGATTATATAAAAATATAGTCATACCACTTTGTTTAAAAAATATTAGGGCAATCTTTGGATCTCAAAGAATTTGCAATTTCGTTAGTAATTAGTAATTCATAAAATCATAAATGTTGCATTATAAATAAATGTTTAAATTTAGGTGGTATGCATTTGTAAATATTTGCATAGTGTTTTCGATAGCATGTTTGTAGCCATGGCCACACAGTATAGCTTTCACATGGTATTTGCTATAAAGTGTTTGTCCTACCAGTCTTGAGCTACATTTACACTAGACATGATAAGGCCACGACGATACAATAAAAATGCCTTCAGTGTTGGATTATAAACGACACGATGATATGTCCCTGATATGCCATTATTGTGTGTAAATGTAGTTATAGTGGTCTTACATTAGTCACAGTTATCAAAGCAATATAGACTTGCGTGTTCTATGTATATCACTAGACTAAAAAAAGCCTATTATTTTGATGTCCCATTAATAATAACAATAATAGTAATAAATAATAATAATAATAATAAAAATTATAATAATAATATATTGACAGACATCATTTTTATCTGTGGCACTCAACAAGGGGTGTGTCAGTGTCAATTCCAACAATACTTTATGAAAATCGACTAGGCCTATACATTTGTCCTCTTCTTGGTGAATGTAAGTTCTTACTTATTGTAGTATGAAACCGTTTCTATCTTACTGATATGTTTGAATACCAATGCAAATAAAACATATAACACTTGCTTCGACCTAGTTATTTTTTTTTATTACTGTATGTCTACAAGAAAGACCTGGTTTTGTTTATTTTGTTTATTTGTTTTAGAATTATTATAGAAAACAATCTTGCTTTTAAAGTTATAAATAGTTTAAAGCTGCAGGATACTTGTAGAATTATTACCTATAAACATTCATTCACTTGGGGCTATTGTGGATACGATTATATATTCAAATAGCCCTAAGTCAAATACATTGATCTCAAATAGGAGAAAACTTAAAAGTTTACCCTGTTCTTAAACCTGGTTGCTATACCCGACTTATTTGTGTTATCGTTGGAGTATCAACTATCGGATTGAATTAGCATTTTCCTTGTATAAATTGTTCCGTGGATTCAAACTATCAAATTTCACATGGCCTCCCTAGTGACAATAGTAGAATGTCTAAATACCAAAGTAATTAACTTTTTCATTTGAAATGCATTGTGTTTAAATTACTCTATATAATGATAGGTTTGTCTCTTCTCAGGATACACTGTACTTCTTATTTTAATTTTGGGTATTATTTGTTTATGTACAAACTTTTATTTATAAAATGTTATGAATAGAACCTGTACCCCATTGACAAATTTCACTAGAAACCAAATATACTTGTTTGCTAGCATGGCAACGTTGGCTGAGTTACGTGAATACCTCTGTTGATAGTTCTATACCTGAATAGATGTCAAGATAGGTTGCGTTGTCCGTATGATTTGTTCAGTTTTCTGAAGTCCAAGGTTTATCATTGATTAGATTCAATTCATTTCAAATGTGTATTTTTGGATCAACATGAATGACGTATAACAATAACACACACAGAAATATGACAAGTATGATTGCATAAGATAAGATCATCCACATACTAACAGTAAGGCAATATTTTCTCCATAGGTTTGGTTTCAATCATGGGTTTGACAATATCCACATATTTAAGCACTCGGTTTTTTTGTTTCCAGCACATGGGGTTGCACGAGTGGCCCCAGTCAGGAGAAAAACTATTCATCGTTTTGAAGAAATGAAAAAAAAATCTAATATACTATTTATATATTATAGTAGTAGAATCTAGAATCAAGATGTTTTACATATTAGTAGACTTCCCAAATAAATTATTAAAAGAAAAAAAAAAGAAAAGACCTGCATACTATATCAAAACCTTTATGGCTACCTATTCCCTTCATACATTATTGTTCATCTTCATATGTCATATGTTATCGTGGCGAGTCGAGTGGCCGAGCTCTAAGGCAGGGGCGCTGCAAGCTACAGCCTTAATATTGGCGCTGGTTCCAGCCGCTACTCGCCCATGGTTCGGTTGGTAGAACCAAGTCTTCTTGGATAAGGACTTAAAATGGATGTTCAGTGTATACATCTGGCTCGTGTGCACTTTAAAGAACCCATTGTATCTTTCAGAAGAGTAGGGGGTTACCCCGATGTTATGGTTCATTTCAATCCCTGTCGTTATGGAATGATGGAATATGTAGCTACCATGAAGCGCCTGTTTAGGGCTGCTAGGTAGTCACGGACCACGCCCATACTGTACGCAATTCAGCACAATGACGCTGCAAGTTATGAGTTATTCTCCTACCTTTACCTTTATCTATAAATCAAATTCATCACAAGTTTAATTATTGCCATTATCTCAATGTTGTCATCACCCAACATCTTTGTTATTATAATGATGATTAGTCATCCAATAGTAAAAATAAAATAATGTATGTCTGATAATTTCCGTTTTAACCCTCTAGATACCGTCTTCGACTGTAGTCAAAATTGACCTCAAACCGAGAATTCCCATTTTCGACTGCAATCGAAATTTCGTGACTAAAAAATAGGTTGTTTTCAAATCGCTCTTCTGTTTTTATTTTAGCTCCAATACTTCAGAAATTTTGAACACGCATGCGTGAAGCTTTTGTCTTTCGAAATCTGTGAAGAACTCACATGCGCTTATATAAAAATGTTTAGAAATATCAATTTGAAATCGTTATTAATTTAAAAAATTTTTCGAAATGGCCGCACAAGATGTGTACACAGCTGAGCAAGCGATTGACCTGATTTTTGATTCAGACAGCGATGAAGGTGAATTTTTAGATGTGCGAGACTTAGATGTGCCTGTTAGCGATGATGACTGTGGGGCTTCAAGCAGTTCTGACGGCGGAGATGTTCTTGATGAAGATGAGCCTAGGCCTAGAAATGTGAGGGTAGTCGACGCTTTTGAATGGAAAGATCGCGCTTATAGTTATGGATGGTTGGGTAAATAATTTATATAACTGTGTGGAATAGGAATGTTTTATATTTGTTTTTATTTTTTTTGGCTATAATTTTTTTTTTTTTTCGGTATTTGCTGACGATTTATATGTAGCATTTTTCTGTCATTTCTATTATATTATATATATATTATATTATATTATGAAAAAAAATTCCCAAAAATATAAATTATACATCAAATGAAAGCTTATTCTATAAGCTTTCTTTGATTTTAGAAACATTTTTCTGTATAATTTACAGAAAGTTCCCAAAAATCGACCAGAACGACATATACTCAAAAAACGCAAAAAACCTTGTTACACTGCAAAATAATCCGGTATTCAAGGGTTTGCACTACAAAAGAATCCGGTATCCAGAGGGTTAAGTAAAAGCCGATTATCAAACACAAAAGTAAATTACAGGGACTTCCCAATATATTTGTACTAAAATCATGTCATCTTCAAGTGAATTAAAACATTGCTGAAAGAAAGTTAATTCAATTGAAATTTCTCCAATGTCATAACCAACTAATCAAAACTGGGCCTTGAACATGTGCATGTCCCATGTTGTTCTACAAATTTTCCTAGTACTGTACTGCATAGTTGCTACAGAAATTTTGCCTCATTGCCTCATTATAGGACGGAAATAGATAAAAATACTACGGAAATTTATCATAGGCCTAGACCCATAAAACAAATAGGTTCAAAGTCCAGAACAAACGACTATTCCTTCAGGATCCTCGGTTAAATTGTACCTAGACAAGTCAAACTTGTCAGATTACTGATAAATGATTGTGAAAACTAATAAAAAGTGCCTATCAGTTTGTTTGAAATTCCACAGTTATTTATTCTGTACCTGTAATATTTAAGCAACCCATATTACGCACTTAAGTGCTACGGAAATTTTGTATTTACTACAGATATTTGTAGACTCAGTTTTAATGCATTTGACTAACCCGAGAAGTCTAGTGTTACATACTTTCACGCTGCTGTTTTGTGGAATCTTAGCAACAATAGGGATTTTTTTCGATTTTTGCAACGAC